AGAGAGGATAGAAAAAGACTGTTATTTCCTCAACTTCTGCTGTGTCTCTGCACAGGGACCCCAGTCTCAAAATATCAGGAGTCCCGCTCCACCTGGGAACATTTTCTGACAAGTGTCTGTACACAGGGCAGATTTGGTGAGTCAGAGAACTCACATCCCCTGTAAGGAGTGCATCCCCTGTGACTCATGGGGAAGAATAGATACCCCAGTGCTGTTGATTCTGGAAGACAGTTTAGGGTCCTATTCCAGTGTCTCCCAGATCTCCACTGCAAATCACAGTTGGTCACTGGCATAATTACACACTTTCCTTTCCCATCTCACTTCCCCATTTACCCAGCCAGTGCTTTCTGGGATGACTTCTCACTAAAACTACAGCTGTCCAATGTCATCTGCAGGAATCCAGACTGAAGCTACGGTGTGTGTCTGTTAACCACTGTAAATACAGTTTCAATCTACAATGCCCTCTCACCTCTTAACACTAAAAGTAAGTGGGAAATACTTAGTATGTACCTCAAATACACAAGAAGCTATGCTAGAAGGAGACAGGGCAATGGTTGAGGCTTAACATTGAACCAAAGGGTGAAGGAAAACCTAAGAGTTACTTTATTCTTCACTTTGATCTTTTATTCATCAACTAGAATGTCATAGAGGTTACTAATTTATGTCACTCCACATGGTCACTTGGAGAGGATTAAATACAGTACTAAAACGGGTTCTGAGCTCAGAGGGAAAACAAGGCATTAAGTGTTCTGATATCCCTCTCATCCCTCTCACAGTGTACGTTTCACAACTTCCCTGTCACTCATCTTGGAGGGATGGTCTTCCCCACTGACTGCTCTGTGATCTCTTGTTCCACCTGTGTCACTGATTCATCCCCTCAGGCTTTGCCTCTCCACTCTCCCCTAAGTCACCAACTTCCTGGCAGTAACCTCTTCCCCAGCTTGGGGACAACAAATGCCTACAGATAAGATATCCTCTCTGCATACTGCTTTTTTCTAGTATGGTCATTAGGATAGCTTCATCTCAGGTATCCATCAACCAGTGCAGAACCAGAGTGTTAGTAGCAGACAGTGAGAGTCCACTGCTCACTGCCAGTGGCTTTGCTAAGTTTCTTAGTGATTTCTATCAAGTCAAGAGTGAACCATAGGATCGACTATGTCTGTAAGAATTAAATGAGACCATTTAAGTGCGTGGAACTGCAAAGGATGCAGAAATGATTCCATACATGTTTCTGATCCTGATCAGGAGTGTGGAGAAACAGGCTTGAATAGGGGTGAGAGACAGTTCAGAACAGGATGAAACTGGAAACAAATAAAAAAAAAAAAAGCTAAGGAAGTCGCTAGAGGGGCAGTTGGACAGAACAGTGGTGGAGCCTGGAGGAGGTCATACGGTCCACAAGGGATGTTTTACAGGGTTTGGGATTTCCTGTATCGCCGAGTTAAACTCTTTATTTCATATCTGTATCCTTATCTGTAAATGGAGGGTAATACTCTCTGATGGAGTCTCTGTGAACCTCCAACTGATGTGCTGTAGGTAAAGCACCCAGCTTGCTCTTCTCCCTGAAGGAAAATGGTTCCCTCCTTCTCCCCTCTTGAAAAAAAAAACTTCATGCAAATCTGAATATCTAAATCCATAGTTTAATCTACTGTTGTTTTGAACCCCATGTTTCTTTCCTGATCAGAACAGGCCAGCTGATAAACAATATCACCTCCCAGCCTCAATGCTGAAAAGTCATATTCAGGAGCTGGATGTCACTGGCTCACAACTACTGAAATCCACTTTACCTTCAAAGCCTAACTGGTTTTCATGTAGTAAAACATCACTTTTCTCTCCGCTCTGTGTGACACTATGGCCTTCAGCTCTGTGCTCATAGCATGACTTCCTTTCTAATGCACTGGCTTCATCATGTGTTAGTTTGTGTATATTTCTCTATTATATATGTAAATATATATAATATATACACTAAATTTTAAATTTTAGAGCTGGCAAGATAGCTCAATGGATAGAAGCAGTTGCTGCCAAGCCTGAAGATCTGAATTTGATCCCTGGATCCTCCAGGATGGAAGAAACGAACCAAATCCTGAAATCTGTCTTTGGACCTTCACATGAATGCCATGACAAGACCTGGCCCACATGCAGACACAGACACACATAATACACAAATTAAAGTGTAATAAAAATATGATTAACTAGAAATAATCTAACCTAGGTATCTGTCCCAGGCAAATGAGAAAACAGGCTTTCCAACATGAAATCTGAGAAAGATGTGGAAAGGACCACAGAAGCAAACAAATAAAAGAATAGAGGATGAGGCCGGTTTTCTCTTCCCTAAATTGAGTTCAAGCAAATAAATACAGCATCCATGTTGTAAGAGATGAATGTAAGGTGAAATCAGAGTTTGCAAGAGCGACTGTAAGAATGGATACTACAGTAGCCACAGGACAATTAGAATAATTCTCTTCTGTTTGTTAGATGAAGAAACAAAAATGGAATACGCATCCAGGTGAATGCTCTAGCAAGACGTCACTGTCGGAATCCCAGCTTAGCTGCCCCCCATCTACTTTACGCTCCCATCATGTTATCACAGGGATGCTCTAACGCTCTCTCTTGGCTTTATATTATGGCAGGAAGTCAAAGGGGGCTGGAAGAGCTGGATATGGAAGTGAGTGGTATCCTGGGATGGCTTCCGCCGGCTAACCACTAACCTGGGCACTTGACTGCCCAAGCCTATTGCCATCATCAGAATCCAAGGTGGCACCTGTGCTAATGAGTCTTTCCTCCGAACGAGGTTTCCCCTCATAGCATGACTTCCTCTCCTTTCCTACGGTTGAACTTCCCCTCATGTGACACCCTGCTTTGCTGTGTTCTGAGATCTGGAAAGATGCCCTGGTTGCCTTGTGGCACCAACCAACCAGAGTCTGTCGCTTGCTTCTCTTCCCAATTCTGCTTATGTGGCCTCAGGGTAGTAGTTAGAAGTGAACTACGGTGGGAATATTTATACTATAGAAGGGAAAAATCAGCAAATTCCACGAATCAGCTAGTGTTTTATGCTTTGTTTATTCCTATAAAAAAATGTCATTTTGTTTACTAACCCATGAGCCAAACCCACCAAATTATATTTTTCTGCTTAGTGTTCAAGGTTAGTGTTCAACATCTCTAATTAAGGATAACTCCCTACCTACATACTGATGCTTAAACACTGCCAATAATGTCCGAGAGGTGGGTCAGAAGAGCAAGAAGGGCTCCTCTATTAACATCTCTAGACACCAATCAGTCAGCACTGGAATGTATACAGTGATGTTGGGGTGGAATGTCTCCTTGGGGTAAAGAAAAGGTTGTAGTTTGTCAGGTAGTAAAAGATCTTCCCATGGGTCTTGTGTGTTAATGGGAAACCAGGAAAGGTAGTCCTGAGAACTTAGGTGTCCTTTAATCAGCTGTTGGCTAAGCAAATGTTCTGACTTTACCCTTAGGGACTTGGGCTATTGAGACCATGAGAAGATAAAATGAGCACAGCTGATCCTTAGGCCAGAGGTGGCTCAGCAGATAAAGATGCTGCCTGCCAGGCCTTACATCTTGGATTTGTTCGCTGGGACCCACATAGTAGAATGTCTTTCTGACTTCCACATGAATTTCTATGGCACACTCACACCAAAATGAAATAAACATAATAAAACTTTTTAAAATAAATAGATAAATAAATAAATAAATAAATAAATAGTAAAAAGAGTCTGGGGATGTGCCTCTACAGCAGTGTACAAGTCTAGACTCCATCTCCCCAATGAGGGGCTGAAAATCACAGGCTCTCGAGTAACACAAAGACATCTGGATCTGGAAGGATTCTCCTGCACCCAGTCTTTATTTGCTTTGTATTCTCTAGAGAGACCTGAAAGACCTCACACTTTGTGTCCCAGTAACTGGGTCCATCAAGCGACCCAAAGGACCTCACACTCTTTCTCAGTATCTGTGCCCAAACAGACTGGCAGGACCTCATACTGTGTTCTAGCAACTATGCCCAAATAGACCGGCAGGACCTCATACTCCTTCCGTGTCCATATTCGCAGCCTCAAAGAGAAAAGCATTAGGGAGGCATCCTGCTGTCTCAAGGAGGGAAACATTCCCAAGCAACTTGAGAAAATCTTTATCAAACAGCTCCCTAGCGAACTTCCGGCATGGGTGTCACCACAGGACTTGGGCTAAGACCAAGGGTACGCACTGTGTCCAACAGGCTTTAGTTGTCTGATAAAAATGAAGGGTGATGAAAAGCCAAAAGAAGTCTCGGAATAGACCTGGGAGTGCAGACTCTCCCACTCCCTCCCATTCTGGTGCTTAAAGAGTCCAGAGAAACACAGAGTCAGCAATGCCCTTGAGCAGCGAAGGATCCCTGATCAGTTCCTACCGACGTATCAACCACCTTCAGACTTCAGCATGGAACACATCCACCTGTGAGACAGTATGAACAATTTTGGATACAAAAAAGAATGGGCTTTCTAGCAATAAAAATTATGAATGAAAAGGCTCATGGGAAAAGCCGAGTGTGAGACTCCCCATGTCCCTGTCCCTCCTCGAGGGAGAGTCCCCTCCTTATCAATTTGCATCTAGGATGAGGGGCAGCAACTTCCTCTTTCCCCACCGGAGATGCTCAGAGGTATCTGTAGGGAGTAAGGTAGCAATGGCATAAACTGAAAACTAGAACTAGGGCAAACCATAAAACAAGAAGCCACTGCACAAACAAAGGTAGAAATACCCAGACATGAGAGATGTCCTCAGGATGATGGAGCTGCTGGGGAGCTTCAGCCTGAACAACATCTAACACCGGAGAGCAGCAGCATCGACTGGCTCTAGCTCAACTCCCACCCTAGTTGCCAGGCCAAGGCCAGATGCAGGCTCGATGCTTGTCATGTAAAAACAAAGAAAGGACAGTGCGCTCAACTCCTCTTCCAGATGTGCACAGGACTCCAAACAAAATGGTATGCAAAGCCCCCACATCAAAACAGACTTACCCAATAGCTGAACAGGGACCGGGATGACAGAGATAAAAGCTAGGAGCAGGGGAAGCCTCATGGCCCAGAGTGTGTCTTCCATTGAGGGAGAAGAGGGGAAGGGGAAATGCCAAAGAACACAGCCAGGTCCCCGGATTGCCCCTTCGCCTAGTCCAGGGTCTGGGAGCTGCCTGCTGAAAAGGAGGACAGAGGAAGCTGTCCCTTTTAAAGGTCTCCTGAATTTAGGAAAACCCTCCAATTGAGAGATATCCTGTCACATGGGGGCGGTTAGAAAAACAGGAATTCAAAGTTACAACTTTGCTTCGTAAGCTAAGGCACAGGGGGAAGGGGAGAGGGGAACATGTGTAGGAGAGGAGTGAACGCAGGAAGTGGGGAGAAATTAGGACTCAGGCTGCAAGAGGGAGAGGCAGCCCTGCTGAGCTCTCCACAGGTGCGGGGCAGTAACCACATAGGAGGGCACTATCTGGGTGGGTAGGAAGGCACTATCTGGGTGGGAAAGAGACAGTCTCCAGGAGAGAGCGGTGGAGGCTCTCATGGCGTGCAGCCTCAATTCTCAAATCAGAAAGGGAGGACACTCACTACAAAGGTCAGAAGCATTTCCTGAAAGTGTAAAACTGACCCCCGCCCCAATCCTGTGTTCAGGCTTTGAGCTCTGCCCCCTGACACACACGCACACGCACACACACACCTTGGGAAGGATCAAAGGTATGGTTCACATAGAGCTTCGCTCCTATCTCTAGAAGAAAAATGAAAGAGAAGTTAATTTTAAGACAATCTCAGTGAGACCCAGAGAAATAAGATTCTAAGAAGCCTTTCTCTAGAAAGCCAGAGGAACCGGTCACAAAAGCGTTGTTGTCGGTTCGCTGCCCGGCCTCAACCATCACAGTCCTCGGAGTATGGAAAGAGGAAGAGCTCTCTCTTGCAAAAGAAAGCCTGGCTTGGGTCCAAAAGTTACTTGTTGATTTGATGAAAGTGGGATTCTGTCTTCGTAACATTCCAGGGTCGTGCACAAAGCACCACACAACCCACCTAAACATTGATTTTTTTTTTCAGGAGTTCAATAAGAATTAAGAATATTTAGAAATGGATAGTAGTGGTTAGTCAGAGAAGACCTGAAACTGGAGCATGGGGGATGTCAGTGTTTCAAACTGAAGCTTCTGGAAACACTGGAGATTTAGAAATTGTAAACAGATGACTTATCTTCAAATGAAAAGCTGTTAAAATCCATCAACTCTGAGACAAAGGTACACATTTACTTCACAATAAGAGCTGTGATTTCTCTCAATTATTTTCATTTTTAAAAGCCTACATTAGGAAGATTCTGAGAGAAGAAGTAGGAGAGTTCCTTCCGGTTCTACCAAGGTTTAACTGACAAAGAAAATTCTTCCCAAACTGGAGAGAGCTGCTTAGCTGGCTTATCAGAAGAACACTGAAACAGTCTTGCTTTTGTAACCCAGGCTGGCCTTGAATTCTTGATTCCTCTGTTTCAGCTTTCTGAGAGCTGGGATTATAGGTGTGCCCCACCATGCCTGCTGCCCCAAAATGTTTTAATTGGTCTTTTAAATGGAAGCCATTCAAGTTGTTTTGCCTAATTGGGGTTTACATTGATTTATTTTCAGAGGTAATAAGAGTTAACTGAACTGCAGGCATCCTTATATCCATGGTTTTATTATGTCAATGTGTTATACATGCACAAGAATAAAAATCAGAATCAGTAACGAGTCCCTGGATTTGATATAAAGTGAAGTTCAACATCACACAAAAGCTTTGTCTTCATCATCTTTATCTTATTGAAACATTTATCAGGTTAGAAGGAGTGACCAAGTCAACACAAATCTGTGATTTCAGGTGATGGCAGAGTAGGAATTTCCATCCTTTTAATTGTCCTTAAAACAATTTTTGTATTGCCAGGAACCATGAAAAATAGCTTCTGATCAGAACCATTCTTTTAGATGAGAGAAGTATCTGTAGTTTGATTTGCACTTCTGTACTGGCTGCTGTGGTTGCAGTTATTCACGTATGCCTTCTGGCCACTCACAGATTTTCTGTGGAGAAGTATTAGCCCACGTCCAGAATTCTTTCTTAACGTCTGTAATTCTGCGGTTTTTGAGTAGATTTTTATATTCTGAATACTAATCTTTTATCAAATGACTGTGTTGTTAAAATTTTCTAATAACCCATGATCTTCTTTCTGCTTTTCCCTTCCTCTGTTTTTATTGTTTTTCTTCTCCACAACTCCCTCCCCTTACCTCCAACACCACATCCTTCTTTTTTTTTTTTAAATTTTGAGTCAAGGTCTCACCATGTAGCCTAAGCTGGCCATAAATGTGTCATCCTCCTGTATCAGATTTCCAAGCTCTAGGATCACAGACACATGTCATTGTGCCCAGCTCACTCTTCTGATAAATGTCCCTTGACATAAAAGGTTTTAATTTTGAGAAAGTTCAGTTTGTCTATTTTTTCTTAATGTCACAGCCAATATGTCACTATCAAATCCAATGTTATGAAGATTTTCCCTGATTCATTCTTCTGAGGGTTCCATAGCCTTAGCACATGTGCAGGTCTTTGATTCACGTGGGGTTTTCTGTATGAGTATGAAGCCAACTGTCATTCTACATGGGGGTACCCAGCTTCTCCATCACTTCCTGTTGAACATACTATTGCTTCCACCCTAAATGGTCTTGGCATCTTGTCCAAAGTCAGCTGGCCACACATGGTGGAATTTCCGTCTAGGCTCTGTGTTGTATCCCACTGGTTATCTCCTGCCAGTATTCTAGTGTTTATATTACCAAAGTATGGTTTAGTAGTAAAGTTTTAAATCAGAAAGCACAAGTCCTCTAATTTCTTTGAAAATTCTTTTGGCTATTTATAATCCCTTGAGATTCCATGTAGATTTTTGGATAGGATTTTCTATATATAAAGTTAAGCAACTTTGTGATTTGGATAAGGTTGGTCCATTTCTGTTCATCTCTTCAAAAACTGTCCATCCACTTCACAGTATTTAGTTCCATTGCGTGAACTTGGGAAATCTTTCTACTTCTTCAATTTCTTTCAGCTATGTTTTATACTTATCAGGATATAGAAATTTTAAGGTTAATTTTTTTTATTTAATTATATTTTTTCAGCACTTGGGAGGCAGAGGCAGGTGGATTTCTGAGTTCGAGGCCAGCCTGGTCTACAGAGTGAGTTCCAGAACAGCCAGGACTACACAGAAAAACCCTGTCTCGAAAAACCAAAAAAAAAAAAAAAAGAATTACAATTTTTACATCCAACTGCAGCTCTGCACTCCCATCTCCCACCTCTGTTTCAATTTAGAAAAGGTCATGCCTCCCATGGATATCAACCAGTCATGATATAATCAAGTTACAGTAATACCAGGTGCATCCTCTCCTATTGAAGTTAGGAGAGGCAGCCCCTGCTCCCACTGTTAGGAATCCAACATGAAGCCCAAACTACACAACTGTAACATATGTGCAGAGGGCCTAGGTCAGTCCCATGCAGACTTCCTGGTTGTTAGGTCCATTTGTGTGCCCTCCTATGGGCCCAAGTTAGCTGATTGTTTGGGTTTCCTTGCAGTGTCCTTGATCCCTCTGGCTCCTACAGTCTTTCCTCTTCATCTTCTACAGAATTCCCCAAACTCCACCTAATTTTTGGTCTCTGCATCTGTTTCCAGTTTCTGGGTGAAGCCTCTCTGATGGCAATTGAGTTAGGCACCAGTCTATGTGTGTAGCAGAATATCTTCAGGAATCATTTCATTTATTTTCTTTTTCTTTTCTTTTTCTTTCTTTCCTTCTTTTTTTGTCCAGTTGTGTTTGGTTCTATCTCAAGTCTCTAGGCTATCCAGCTTCTGGTTTCTGGTTTCTGGTCCTGCAAACAATGTCAGGGGTGGGCTCCCGTCTCAAGCTGAGCAGCCATTGGTTGTCTACTTCCACATTTCTGTGTGATCTTTACCCCAGCACATCTTGTCAACAGGAGGAAGGTTTTGTAGCTAGATTGGTGTTCGGTTCCTCCATTGGGACTGGCTACCCAGTCTGGTCTGGTGACAGGAATAGACAGTTCAGGCTCTGTATCCCCCCTTGCTAGAAAGATTTCCAGGAGTTTACATTGCACTAGATTTGTAACTCATCCCAGAGATGCTCCTGCCCTGGATTCCAATTGTCTCTCCTAGTACTCTCTCCTTCTGTCCTCTCCTAACCTAGCTCCCGCCTGTGTCCATCCCCATCTTCCTATTGAGTCCCTTCTCCCAAGGAAGTCTATTCTATTTCCCTTTCACAATGAGATCCATGTGCCCCCCCCTTAAGTCCTCCTTGTTACTTTGCTTCTTTGAGGTTAAATTTACTCCCAAATATTTTATTCTTTTGTATGTTGTCTTATTTTTCCATCACTGTGCTGAGAAACCATGAGCAAGACAACTATAGAAGTGTTTACTGGGCTTATAGTTTTAGAAGGTGAGTCCATGAGCGTCATGGCAAAGAACATTTTAATGGGCAGGCAGGCATGGGACTGGAGCAATAGCTGAGAGCTTACATTTGATTCACAAGTATGAGGGACAGAGTAAGCTAACTGGGAATGGCACAGGCTTTTGAAACTTCGAAGCCCACCCCCAGTGACATATTTCTTCCAACAAGGCCACACCTCCTAATCCTTCCCAATCAGGTCTACCAACTGGGGCCTAAGCTTTCAAATATTTTAGCCTATAGAGAACATTCTCATTCAAACCACCAATGTCATTGTAGATAGAATTATTTCCTTGATTTCCCTTTTGAGTTGTTCATCATCGAAGTATGAAAATACTATTGACATTTATATATTTCTTGCAACTTTAACAATGTTCTAAAGCTTTCTACATTTAAAGTCATACCATCTGCAGATAGAGGCAAAAGTCCATTTTTACACTGTAATTTAGGTGATTTAAATTTTTTACCTGATTCCCCTGGCTAGAACTTCTAGTTTAAGGTTAAACAGAATTGCCCAAGTAATTACAAAACACCAGTCATTCCTCAACACCCACAGGCCGGTATGTGGAGAGTAAGGTCCTTATTATTCACACTGCTTCTAGGAATGTTGGGATTGCCCTTCTAGCCTGAGGAGTGAGTGATAAGGAGGGGCAGGTGAGAGATGGATTAGGGAAGCCTTCAGAACTGAACAGCTGAAATTTACTGACATTCTAACTTCTTAACCTTGGGGTTGACCAGATGGATCTGCAGACTCTTTAAGTGTGACTCGGTTGTTTGAGATTCCTCTATTGAGAATTCTACTTGTA